CAATTTTAAATTGAAAAGATTTTTCAGTGAAGAACAACCTTCAAAAATCACGTTTTAAAACGTTATTTCTTAAGAGCTATTTATTTCTCTAAATCATATGAGAAGATTAAATCGCCAGAACACAAGTATAAAAAAAACCACTGATTGTGTTCAGAAAACTTAATCTGAAACTTGAATTTAATAAACAAGAAATAATGCCCTTTGATGGGAAATTGAAACTATGAAAAGGAAAGCAAAAATATTGTATCTAACACGGAAGTAAAGTTTTCAATTTCCTGGTCAATTCCTGACATCTGACTGAATACCAAGGCACGCAAACACGAGTATTGATTTTGAGCCCTGCCTGCCGTCTTCTGCGCTACCTTCTGGATGAATTTCATGAATAATAGATACTAAAAAACAATTCTGATGCGAATAAACAATTTGCTTTGCTGCCACCTTCGTATGTTCGTAGCTGACGTTGTAGAAATGCCCGGCGCTGCGGTCGTTGGCGGCTAGATTCAATAAGTGACGTCACTTCAAGATTCAGTAGCTGTTTCTTTTAGAGCTTTCATGCTGCGTACTGTGACTGCTAGATTAGTTGACTTCTAGATTCAATTATAGCTAACGTTGTAGATAAGTTCGAACTTCCGTCGTTGACCACGAGGTTGAATAAATGACATTGTAGAAAGCCTTCGCTACGGTCGTTGACTTAAATGACGTAGTTGTAGAAAAAACGTGGCTACGTCGCTAATGCCAGTTTCAATAACGGACTTTTAAGAAAAGCGCGGCGCTACGTTCGTTGTCTTGTAAGATTCAATCGCTGACGTCGTAGAAAAACCCCGATGCTACGGTCGTTGACTACGAGATTGAATAATTGACGTTGTAGAAGAACCGTCGCTATCGTCGTTGAATGCCAGATTCAATATCTGACGTTGTAGGGGCTACCGCGGGGCTACGGTCCTTGACTGATAGATGAAGTAGCTGGTGTTGTAGAAAAGCCCGTCGTTATCGTCGTTGACAACGAGATTGAATACTAGTAAATGACGTTGTAGAAAAAAACGCCGCTACGGTCGTTGACTTCTACTTTCAATAGCTGACGTTTTAGAAAAGCGCGACGATACTGTCGTTGACTGACAGATTCCGTAGCTGTGGTTGTGGAAAAGCCCTGTGCTCCCGTCGTTGACTACGAGATTGAATAAATGACGTTATACAAATATCGTCGCTACGGTGTATGAATGCCAGATTGAATAGCTGACTTTGTAGAAAAGCTCGACGCTACCGTCGTTGAACACGAGATTGAATAAATGACGAAGAAAACCCTCGCTTCGGTCGTTGAATGCCAGATTCAGTAGCTGACGTTGTAGAAAAGCGCGGCGCTACAGTCGTTGACTTCTTGATTCAATAGCTGACGTTGTAGATAAGTTCGACGCTTCCGTCGTTGACCACGAGATTGAATACATGACGTTGAAGAAAACTGTCGCTACGGTCGTTGAATGCCAGATTCAGTAGCTGACTGAAGATCCGGGGTAGAATAGGTCTTCAGCAACCAATGCTTGCCGTAAAAGGCGACTATGCTTGCCGTAAAAGGCGACTATGCTTGTCGTAAAAGGCGACTAACGGGATCGAGTGGTCGGGCTCGCTGACTTGGTTGATGCATGTCATCGATCCCAATTGCGTAGATCGATTCTCATTATGTCATTCACTGGATTGTCTGGTCCAGACACGATTATTTACAGACCGCCGTCATATAGCTGGAATATTGCTGAGTGCGGCGTTAAACAACAAATAAACAAACAAACAAACAAACAGTAGCAGACCTTGTGGAAATGACCATCTCGGGTTGGTACTACCATCTGTCTCTTCAGGGGGTCTCCCGTGACCTGATGGTTAAAACCGAAGGCCATTGGAAGTCAAACCTTCCAATGTACTGATCCGACAAACGTTGGTGGGTGGGTGAGTTGGGTTTAACGCCGCTTTTAACAGTATTCCACTTATATCACGGCGTGTCAGCTTAATGTGGGAGGAAAGCCCGAAGTGATGCAGGTCTTAGACGTTTACCACTTCGGTGAAACCAACGCGCACGGGTATGGTGCTGACAAACCTAGAAACATCATCGGGGCGAACCAGGATTCGAACCCACAATCATAGGTTTCTGGCGTGCCCAAGGGACGCAACTCTGCACAGCGAATCGCGGCGCCTTAGACGACTGGGCCAGCCGTGCCCCCGCAAACGTTGGTTATACAGATATGTCTGTAAATATACTAAATAAATTATACATATATTCTGTCGTTTCCGGCTCAATTCAATTGTATAGCAAGTCAAACACTTTTACTTAAATGTTTTAGACAGTTTTGTTGCTCTGAGATTATTTATGAGACAAGAAACCGCCTTTCTTTTCGTGTTTTTTAAGACTAATAAGTTTCAATGGACCCTTGAATAGTCGGGTTAAGCTTTAAAATACTGTAACTTTAAAGGTCACGTTATCGATTTTTGTTTCGAGTCAGTAATTACAGGACCCAACTTTCCACCTCAATGATACACTCTGTTTGGTGGAAAAAAGATCAAAACGTCACGCAAATTGTTGCATTAAACCAGCTGTGCAAGAAGTCATGCATTAGAAGACAGAACTGCTGTTTGGGTGCATTCAGAGCTCGGCGGTTGGTGCCCTCATGGGAACAGTGGCGCGCTATTCTCCTACAATTTGACATGTTACATAATGTATGTCGTTAGTGAGAAGATGCCATTTATCAATTACAGGCATTGGAACCTCGATTCTCTTTGATGTTCCGTAATAGGTATCTCCTGGGATTGACCTTTAAATCCGTGTTGCGTTTAGTTGTTGTTGCGGGCAGAAATAAATTGATATTGCTTGCTTTGCAATAACGGGGTCCCTTGTGTTCTTTTGGTAAAATAAAAGCGACAAAAACCAGTTCCATTTATCATATGAAATCTGTGCTAAAGGCGGAGTTCATTGAAGGACTCCGACTGTTTCATAAGCATGTTTTGTTTGTTTGTTTGTTTGTTTGTTTGTTTGTTGTTTAACGCCGCTCTCAGCAATATTCCAGCTATATGACGGCGGTCTGTATGTAAATAATCGAGTCTGGACCAGACAATCCAGTGAACGACATCCTGAGCATCGATCCACGCAATTCGGACAGATGACATGCATAAACCAAGTCAGCGAGCCTGACCACCCGATCCCGTTAGGCGCCTCTTACGACAAGCATAGTCGCCTTTTACGGCAAGCGGGGGCACGGGTGGCCCAGTCGTCGAAGGCGCCGCGATTCGCTGTGGAGAGTTGCGTCCCTTGGGCATGCTAGAAACCTATGATTGTGGGTTCGAATCCCGATTCGCCCCGATTATGTTTCTAGGTTTGTCAGCACCATACCTTTGCGCGTGGGTTTCACCGAAGTGGTAAACGTCCGAGACCTGCATCACTTCGGGCTTTCCTCCCACATTAAGCTGGCACGCCGCGATATAATTGGAATACATTTAAAAGCGGCATTAAACCCAACTCACTCACTCACTCACTCAAAACTCTTCCTGAAGACCTATTCTACCCCGATTCTTCACGGGTCGATTCATATGTACAAAAAACATATGGGCAAGAAGGGAAACGTAATTGGCGCCCATGGGGATGCCTCCTTCTTGTATAAATGTCTTAAGAAATGTTTGCCGAACTTCTGTGCTGATACAGATCGATTTGACAGAATTTAATTTGCCTTTTCGTTATTCCGATACCAATATAACATTGAAAAGTCACAGCTCTCGAACGTGTCGGATTATCAACGAACGATATCGCGACGGTGGTTAAAATTACTTCGTAAAGGAGTGAGTTGGGTGTAACGCCGCTTTTAACAGTATTCCAGTTATATCGCGGCGTGTCAGCTTAATGTGGGAAGAAAGCCCGAAGTGATGCAGGTCTCAGACGTTTACCATTTCGGTGAAACGCACGAGCACGGGTATGGTGCTGACAAACCTAGAAACATAATCGGGGCGAACCGGGATTGGGACCCACAATCATAGGTTTCTGATGTGCCCAAGGGACGCAACTCTGCACAGCGAATCGCGGCAAAGGTTGATGGTAGCACCCAGGACTACTTCGATGTCCTTTGTGCCCTTGGAATAGAACAGTATGAACGCTTCTCAAGCACCATTGGTGACACGCGTGGGCGAGTGGAGTAGGACCCGCGATTCTCTGTACAGTTACTTCACTTAACCGTGCCTGGATCCGCTAATCGTGGGTTCGAATCCAAGATTTTTCCGTGCTCGAGGTTTTCACCAAAGCGGTAAACGTCTTGGACCTGCATGGCTTCAGACTGTCTGAACTAAGCCGACACGCCGTAGTTTGATGTGAATACTGCCCAAAATGTGTCACTCACTCGCCTACTCACGCACTCACTCGGGGCGGTCGGGTAGCCTAGTGGTTAAAGCGTTCGCTCGTCACGCCGAAGACCCGGGTTCGACTCCCGACATGGGTACAATGTGTGGAGCCCATTTCTGGTGCCCCCCGCCGTGATATTGCTGGAATATTGCTAAAAGCGGCGTTAAACCACACTCACTCACTCACTCACTGAAAAACTCACTCACTTAAAAACTCACTCACTCACTCACTCACTCACTCACTCACTCACTGCATTTAACATAGCTAATAAGACCTTTAAAATACACAAGACAAAAATCATGCACAATAAGTCTTGTTTCGAAATGCAATTCCGCATTAAGCTACCAGTCTAAAGCTAATTAAAACAATACAGTTTCTTCAAGATCATTTCGCGCTTGAAATGAAATAATTTGTAAATTCAATTGGACGGCACACAGGGCCCCTCGAGCTGTAGATGGTGCATTCAATATGTATGACTGCCCGCTGATAAGGAAGCCGCATCGAGCCTGCGGGAAAAATCAATATTCGTCTCAGGTTGTACTGATCACATAGCCGGGCTACAAATGTCTACATCGTTCCGACCCCGTGATAAGATAGGAACCTTGCTCAACCATGTCTTATTCTTCCTCTGCAGGGGACTCACTTCCTAGTCTCGGAGGCGAGATCACGCGAGATATCGTCGACGAGATTCTCTGATCAAGATCCCTGCGGGCATTTGTCCTGGTAAGTTCATTATTAAGTATATTTATGTCTGCCAGCTAATAGAGTTATAATGTGGGTATAGTACGGTGGTGTTTGGCCAATGTTTGCTCTGGGAATTGTGGATTTTTTCTCCATCTTTTTTTCCTAGAGTAATTGATTTGGATGGATGATTTGCAGGGTTGATGTAATAATTAGAGGGGAGTTCTTCAGCAGATGGCCACCGTCTGTCTGGATGGTGTGTGAGTAGGTGGGTTAAAACTGTTGTTCGCTGACGCCAGCAATATTAAAGCTATAGCACAGCGGCTGGTACGAATGTATCATTTACCCAAGGCAAACCAGTGGTTGCTGATGTGAGTGAGTGAGTGAGTGGGGTTTAACGCCGCTTTTAACAGTATTCCAGTTATATCACGGCGTGTCAGCTTAATGTGGGAGGAAAGCCCGAAGTGATGCATGTCTTAGACGTTTACCACTTCGGTGAAACCCACGAGCACGGGTATGGTGCTGACAAACCTAGAAACATAATCGGGGCGAACCGGGATTCGAACCCACAATCATAGGTTTCTGGCGGATATGAGTATAGACTACTGGTGTATGGCGTACAAAGGCCCACATTGTGCACCCAATCCTAACTCAACACGCACTTTACCTACTCTTATGATCTGTATGGGAAATTGTTCCATCAAGGATTAACCTTTGTTTGTTGTTTTACGCCGCACTCAGCAATATTCCAACTATATGACGGCGGTCTGTAAATAATCAAATATTGGACTAGACAATCCAGTGATTGACATCATGAACCTCGGTCTACGCAACTGGGATACGATGACATGCATCAACCATGTCAGCGATCGTGACCACCTGATCACGTCAGTCGCCTCTTACGACAAGCGCACTTACTGAAGATTTCTAACCCGGATCTTCACGGGGTGAATAAATAACCTTTGTACTTGGGCAAGGCTAGACCATCGGCATACAGCATGCCCCCTTTCGTCCCCTCACTAACTTGAAATCTAGTTCACGTGCATCAGGTTTTGTTTCAGTAACATTTTCAAAATTAAATTTTCGTTGAACGAAATTGTCATCCACAAAAACATATATTCTTGCATACTTTTATTTTTAGAAAGTATTTAGTCTCATGCATATGATTTCACGTAACACATATGCAGCCCCCCCCCCAAAAAAAAAGAAAAAAAAAGAAGAAATAATATTCATGGTAAGCTTAATGAAAGTACTGATGTTGGTGATTGATGCTAATGGATGTTACTGTTGGCGTTAAAAAAAACGAGCCCTGAAATACAGTAATCTTCAGGACATAAAACACCGATCTGCATCCGTCGAAATAATTGCACGGATACATCAGATCAAAGGGCTACTTTTGTGGCCCACTGTTAGAGGAAAGTGTCGTTATTCATTAAGCCGTGTCACCTTACAACATGCCCAGCTAGCTCGACACTTGTAGGACGGAAAGGTGTAATTACATTAGGCACCGTAAACACCTAGAATAGACTCAACTAACAACACAATCAATACCACTGTCTGACGTTGTGTTAAAAACATTGGGTGCGTGAAGGCTCTGTACATCAATTCATATAGATAGGCCTATATACTAGTCGACTTGATGGTGTTACTGTGTCATTGGGGTTGGCAATTTCATTAATCTTGCATCAAGTCGGTAATGGATTATTAATAACCAAACGGAATTGTGTTCAGAGATCTAGATAATAGGTAGCCTTTAGTTAATAGGTACATATACACTCACACACACGCTTTCAGGTCTTGTGAGGTGATTGTAAGAGGCGACCAAATGGGTCCGGTCGTCAGGCTCAGTATTTGGTTGATTGCATCCCATCCCACCTCGATGGCGTGGGGACCGCCTCCGTGGTCTAGTGGTAGAGCGTCCGCCCGGAGAGCGGAAGGTCCGGGGTTCGATCCCCGGCCGCGTCATACCAAAAGACTTTAAAAGAGGGGACTTGTTGTTACCCTGTCTGGCGCTCGGCATTAAGGGGCTAAAACAAGGACTGGTCGGCTCGGAGTCAGAATACTGTGTCTGAGTGGGGTATTCCTGTTAAACTGCGGCATGGTATCTCAGTGAGCTAGCACTATAAATCGGCATCAGTCCGGACTAGTACAAGCAGCCACACAAACACACACACATACATGCACGTCGCTATATAAGTGCAATAATCATGGACGCGACGTTAAACCCAATTTCACCTCACCTCACCTCGATTGCGTGGGTCGTTGCTTGCTTTACTGATCACTGGATTGTCTCGTCCAAGCACGATTATTTACAAACCACAGATGGAATATTTCAACAAAAACAACTGCAAAACGTCGTGTATCTGAGCCTTCCTGTATATGCCGGGGCGGTCGGGTAGCCTAGTGGTTAAAGCGTTCGCTCGTCACGCCGAAGACCCGGGTTCGATTCCCGACATGGGTACAATGTGTGAAGCCCATTTCTGGTGTCCCGCGCCGTGATATTGCTGGAATATTGCTAAAAGCGGCGTAAAATCAAACTCACTCACTCACTCACTCCTGTATATGCCGGTTCTGGGACAATGAACATTAAGATCGAATCAGTTGTTGAGGTCACTGGAAGACCTAGCCATCAATTTAAGATTCCGAATCGTCTGAATATTTTGTTTGTAATTTTATTGTTCAGAAACATATTGATCTTGGTTCTCAAATTTGAGATTGTTCGCATAGGGAAACAATCTACTTGTCCAGGATTTCGTCAATGTATTTGTTACCACCTGAAAAAACTCACTGTCCAGAAAGCAATGTCATTTCATCAAATGAGTAATTCCAAACAATTCCCGGTCTAGTGAAACTAAGATCAACAAATTGACGTTGAACCCCTGTGATATTGGCTGTGCCGCACTCGTGTGTTGTGTTTCTGTCAGCGTTTTCTCCGTCAACATTTGTTTGTTGACAGACAAAACAAATTAAAAGTTTAAAGTCTGGGGCTCTGTTGACCACACCAAGCGTGATTCCCACACTGGCTTCTGGTAGTTATATTTATGATCAGCTCGAGTTGATATGCTACGGGAAATCACATTTTTCTCCAGTTCATTCAGTCAGTGATTTAAGACTTGTTTGCAAAATGGTTAAGGGGATAGGACTTAATGTATCGCCCTGGCGCAGTCAAAGTTAGATATTATTTTTAAGTGCCGATCTCTTCTCCTAGTGAAATGTGTGAAACCCATTTCCGGTGTCCCCGTCGTGATATTGCTGGAATATTGCTAAAAGCGGCGTAAAACCATATTCACTCACTCACTCTTGGTGAAGAGGTTTTCAGATGAGAAGGATGTCAACTCAGAAGTACCTTCCTGCAGGAACAGGCACCTCGACATGGCCATAAACACACACAGATCATTTCAAAGCTTGAATCTTATGTTCAGAGTAAACATTATATATTTTAATTAAATTTCAAACAGACAACAGCCAATGTAAATCTTATATTTGAAAATAGAGGACTTTTTAATGCCGTGGCTTGTTTAAATTTTCTTCTGGCATAGACTGGTGTCCCCCGCCGTGATATTGCTGGAATATTGCTAAAAGCGGCGTTAAACCATACTCACTCTAGCATAGACTCGATTATTTACAGGCCGCCGTAAAAGAAGCTTAAACAATTCACGCGGAGTAAAACAACATTCAACCACTCTCCTTTCTAATATGAAGCCATGTTCCCCGTGACAAGTTCTGTTCCACTCTGCCAGAATATAACTTGTAACCTTTTCTTTATTTTGTTGTAATATTGATTGCTTATTTAACTTTATCAGGGCGGTGGTGTAGCCCTGTGGTTAAAGCATTCGCTCGTTACGCCAAAGGCCCGGGTTCGATTCCCTATATGGGTACAATGTGTGAAGCCCATATGTTGTGTTCCCGTCGTGATATTGCTGTAATATTGCTAAAACGGCGTAAAATCATACTCACTAACTCGCTCTCAGTTTCGCTAAAATGACGTTATTGATGATGCAGTGTCACTGCATAAACATGATTCTATGATAGTTTGTGATAAAAAAACGTCCTGTGATTTTGACGCCAAGACATCATGCGCTTAAAATCGTGCTACATGCATTACGCACTGATCATCAGAAACGATTCCATGGTATGATATTTTAAAGGAAGACATCAAGCGATACCCAAGGGTTTGCAGACCTAAAGAGACACGTGACGTTTTTCACATGACATCAGGGTTCTAATCCCCTTTAGGGACACATGTGAAGACAAACATCTATCTGACTGGCACGATGATGCAAATCTCATTGTGGAATTAAGCAGCGCTTTGGATGAGCGGTCGATGCCTACCTTTAACCAAACACAAATTAACCCTTCATTTCCACGTTGGACCTTGTGCGTAATTGCCACCAGTACGGGGCAAACCAGGTTGTTGTTGAGACCTTCCAAACACGGAATCAATAGTCGTCCCTTGTCCCCTTCCGTCTCCTCATTATCCTTATCATTAACAGCACCGTTAGACATATGCTGCAGCATTATCTCTTCTTACCTTCTTTCCTGGAGATCAACTGGCTTCGTGCAGGGTTGTCTCCCTTTGTCGTTCTTTGTTCGATCGCGCGGTAATAAAACGGCAACATCAGTCGCAGAAATCACAGAGTGGCGAGTTGGGAGGCGTGTGATGGATGGCCGAGCCGCTCGCAGAACCCTGATTGGAAAATCAATGGAGCATAATTGGAGAGTCATTAGGAAAGAGGCTATGGATCAGAACGAGGCTCTCTGGGGGAGAAATCCTTTTATATTCACTCTTTGGCTACAAAGCGCCAAATATTTGGGTTCCTGAGTAAAGCAAGTATTAATACCAATGCTTGTATTGGAAGTTCCTCGGGGCCAGCGGACATACGTCGTTATGTAAATAGGCTCCGTTTGGGCTACACAGGGAGTGCTTTATACTTGTGTATTGGGATAAGTAGCTTCATACATGTCAACAGCTGTAACGATGTTAGGTTTCGGGTGTGTTTGCTGGTGGTGGTGGCGGTGTTGTAGTCATCCGCACGAGGAAA